CAGGCGCAAATGGCTTGGATCTTGCGGGATGACTTACCGGATGCTGTGCAGATTTTCATTGACGATGCGGGAATTAAAGGGCCCAAGTCCGATTATGGCGGAGAACTTTTGCCCGAAAATCCAGGGATAAGGCGCTTTATCTGGGAGTACGCTGTGGCATTGGAACGGGTCCTGTACCGGATAGAGTTCGCGGGGTTGACTGTGTCGGGGAAGAAGTTCGCTGTGTGCGTACCAGCGCTGGACGTGTTGGGCCATGAGTTGTCCAGTCGAGGACGGTTGATCGCGGCCTCCAAGAAAAACAAGGTCTTGGAGTGGCCAACCCCTCAGACGGCCTCCCATATCCTTCAGTTCCTGGGGTTGTGCAGTTTCGTGCGGATGTTCATTGAGCATTTTGCGATAGTAGCCAGCCCGCTGTGGAGGCTTACGCGGAAAGGGGCGGAGTGGTCCTGGTCGGAGGCTTGTGAGGCGGCGTTCAACGAGTTGAAGAGGATAGTGGGGCTGGACATCACCCTGAAGGACCTCGACTACAGCAGGGGAGGAATTCGACTGGCGGTCGATTCCAGCGAGTTCGGCGCAGGAGGGGTGTTGTCTCAGGAAGAGGAAGGGAAAGACCGGCCGGTATTATACGAGTCCGTTACCTTCACTGAGGTGGAGTCGCGGTACTCCCAACCCAAGCTGGAGCTGTGCGGAGTTACGAAGGTGGTGCGGAGGCTGCAACACCTCCTCTGTGGCGTTTTCTTTGAGCTGTCGGTGGACGCGGAGGCGTTGGCGCGGATGATCAACTCCCCTTCTCTCCCTAACGCTCCTATGACCAGATGGGTGGCGTACCTTCAGCTCTTTACCCTCCAAGTGGTCCACGTTCCGGGGAAAGCCTTTATGATGCCGGACGCTTTGAGCCGTATCCCTCTGAAGGAGGGAGAAGACAGGTTCGCGGATGCGGAGGAGCTGGACGTGGAGAGGCGGTTGATTGAGGTGCGGGCGGCAGGAGTCGACACGGAGGGTCTTCCCCTGGTCCAGTCGGGCAGGTATTTGGTGATGGTGCATTTTTTGACGCACTTGACGTATCCGGACGACACTACGGACCTAGTGAAACGGTGGGTGCGGAGGAAGAGCGCCAATTTCTTCCTACAGGGGGGGCAGCTGTGGCAGCGGAGTCTGCCGATTCCGCTTGTCGTGGCCACCACGCGGGCTGATCAGGAGAGGATTCTGCGGAGCCTTCACGAGGAGTTAGGGCACCGAGGAGAGGCGGAGACTAGGAAACGGGTGCGGATCCGGTTCTGGTGGCCCGGTTTGAGCCGGTCAGTCAAGGACTGGGTGCGGAGTCGCGAGGAGTGCCAGCGGCGGAGTACCTATCTGCAAAAGGAGATCGGTATTCCGACTGGGGAGGATACCTTGTTTAGTCGGGTGTCGGTGGACGTTTGCCACATCAAAGCTGGGAAGTTCAAGTACTTACTTGTAGCTCGAGACGATCTGTCTGGATGGGCGGAGGAGCGGCCGTTGGTGAAGCTGACTTCAGAGAAGGTGTGCCAGTTCTTCGAGGAGGACTGGTTTGCGAGGTACGGTTCTATTCGCCTGGTTACAGTGGACGGCGGGGCGGAGTTCAAAGGGTGGCTGAGAGAGCTCGTGGAGTCCTGCGCAGCAAAGTTCGGAAGGGTAACGGAGTACTACCCGGAGGGAGCTGGAGTCATCAGCCTTTGAAGACCGCGTTGGCCAAGCTCTGCGGCGAAGATGGGCGGAAGTGGCAACAGTTCTTACCGACGGTGCTGTTTGCGGATCGCATTTCAACAAAGCGGGGTACGGGTTGCTCTCCGGATAAGCATTTGTTCGGCTGTCAACCAGTGCTGCCCGTGGACATCGAACTTCTGACGTTCCTCGGGATCAACTGGTGGAAGGTGAAGTCCGCCGAAGATCTTGTTAGAGATGGTCGATTGGCATCCGGATATCCGCACGGATGCGGATATCCGGCTGCTTTTTCCGGCCATCTGAGCATCCAAATCCGCATCCGCACCCGCGGGCGGGTATCCGAGCGGGTATCCTCGGATACCCGCCCTCTAAAGGGCCGGCTGGAAGGGTCTCCTTCCAGCCCGCGGGTATCCTTTGGGGATACCCGGATACCCGCCAACTTTTTGCGGAAAAGGGGCCATCCGCACCCGAATCCGCACCCGTTGGCGGGTATCCGTTGGCACTGGCGGGTATCCGCCAGCGGATAACGGGTATCCGCGACGGATACCCTTCGACCATCTCTAGATCTTGTGGAGGCGCGTGCCGAGCAGCTGTTGGGGAGGGAGTCCCTGGTTAGAGATGGCCCCTCATACTTGCATACTTGCAACAAGTACAAGTACTTGCAAGAAAAATCTCAGATCTCAGACACCCATACTTGTACTTGTACTTGCGGGAGCAGGACAAAGCAAGTACTTGCATACTTGTGGCAAGTACTTGCAAGTATGCAAGCTTAGTTTGAGAGATAAAAGTGATAAATTTCTTGTGTTTTAATTTCAGAGATTTGTATTTGAAACCAAGTGAACTAAGTGATTGTAAATAGTAATAATAAGCCCTTCATTTTCTTCCAGATTTCTCCCTTGCTGCTTTCTTCTCATTTTTCTTATTTGCCTTCCATTTTCTCAAAATCCCCCTCTTGATCTTACCGTTTTTTGAGTAAATTGCCACACTCATCCCCCTAGCAAGAGACTGTGCACTGAGCTTGTGCCTCCTGAGAGAAGCATATTCCCTACCAAAGCTAAAGGATCACTCCACATCAACAGTGGTTGCTTCAGAATGTGCGGGAGATTTGGTAAAAAATCAACCAACATAATATTAACAATTTAGATAAAAAGCACACCTGGACAACTAAGCACATCAAGTGCCATCTGAAGTAAAGGTGCGCAAGTGCACACTTGCATTGCGTGAAAATTCTCAGATCTCAGACACCTGCACTTGCACCCGCACCTGTAGGCAAGTACTTGTTGGAAGGCAACAAGTACTTGCCAACAAGTAGCAAGTAATTGCAAACAAGTACTTGGTGCCATCTCTATCCCTGGTCGCTAAGGTGGCCAAGCGGTTGAAGGAGAGTAGGGCGAAGTCCGTTTGCTACTGGGACCGGAGGTGCGCAAGTCGGCTTAGGGATGCGTTGCGAAAGGGTGACCTTGTGCTACTCTACAACCGGAGTCTGGAGTCTCAGTGGGGCAAGCTGTTCTCCAACCGGTGGAACGGCCCTTACAGGGTGGTCAGCCAATTTCCGGGCGGAATTTACCAGCTGGAGGAATTGGACGGCACGCGACTGAAAAGGCGAGCGGCGGCGGCCCACGTGAAGCGGTTCTATGCCAGGGGATCTACGTCTTTTGACGAGACAGCGGACACGGACGATGAGGAGGAGGTGGTGAAGATGCCGAGGCAGCGGAGCGCTTTAGGGGACGAGTCCAACGCGGCGGGAGAGGAAGACGATGATGCCTCGGCGGCGGACTCAGACTCTGGGAGTGGCTCTGAGGAGGAGGAGGAAGGCGAGGCTTCGGAGCAACCGGAACCAGCGGCTCCGCAACCACGGCGGAGTAAGAGGTTGAAGGGGACCACTGGGGACAGCGGTCAAGGTCTGGGGCGGAGAGGAGGAGTTAGCGGCAAACGCTAAGCATTTATTGGTGAGGGGGTGCGCTAGCTGGTCTACAGCCGGGTAAACTAGC